GTTAGGAACTGCCAGTTTTGTTTTATAATAAAACGCTGTGGCTTCAACGCATGGTGCTAACTTAATGGCTTGCATGTCTGTTCCAACTGTTATACAAACTATATTTTTATTTTTCATGCATTCATCTTTATCTTTTTTTTTTTATTTCTCGACGCTTCTTTCTCTTGTTGGTGTTTATTGTACTCTTCTTCACTTATATTTCCAATTTTGTGGCCCATACATGTGTCGCAAATATCCTTTTTAGGGCTATGGATGGATATTTTTTGATTTTCCATCTCCAACTGAAACATAGTGTGGCTCAAACTTTTTATTGAAAGTCGTTGACATTTTACCTTGTATGCTGAATATACATCATTTTTTTTTTTCTTAAAAATAGGCTCTAAATATAATCGTGAAGATGAAGCACGGCAGTAATGCGATTCGAGCTTTGGTAAAGTTGTTTAAAAGTCTGATAGAAACCATTTTGAATGCTTTAAATTTGCCGTTCTTGATTTGGTAGGTGTTTTCTTATTTTCAGCTGCAACATGAATACCATTTTCTGATTCTTGACGCCAACGGACTGCGACTGATTGAGTTTTTCAAAGGGTGTTGAAAAACATTTTTTTGCGAACTTGAACTCTTTGCTCATTGTTCATTAAGTAGTACTCATAAAAATTAGATATTTGACTGGCTTCTACAGTAACTTGGTGTGGCTGCTTGACTTCTATTAAAGATGCTACGTAAACTTTTTTCATATCCCATGTCATCTTTCGCCAAAAACTATTAAACAGATTCATGCGAATATTTTCAAAAAATTAGAGCAGCCTCGCTTTTTTGATTTTATACAATATTGAGATTCACATTTTAAACGAAGGTTTCGTGCTGGTCGATTTTCAGTTAACCTATATTTACCATCATCTTGATCTTTCTTCAAACCTTTGTACTTTTTACCGTACATTCGATTAAATTTTTCTTGTTTTCTACAATTTTTTCTTTTGTTATCATTTTCCTTATTCTCTTTTTCTTCATCATTGGTAGAATTCTCAATATCATTATGTGCTTGGTTGTTCGTTTCACTTGCATGGGGTTCATCATTTAGCTCTTCAGTGTTATTTGAAAGTATCTTAATAATAATATTTTCCGTACTCGTAGGTATTTCCAATTCAGAAACATTATTCGTTGGGGTTTCGTTTTCAGATAATAATGTATTATTGTCATCATTGTGATCATTGGAAACATTCAATAACAAGTTATTATTAGAAACAGTTTCTAATATGTCACGATCCATTATTTCTCCTTCACTAGCACGTTCTTCTATGTTACAATTATTAAGCTCCTCGCTCTGACTCTCATCAGAAAACCAGAATTCAGCACTGTTCAAAATATCTTCTAGTTCTCTTTCGGTTAGCGCTTTATTGGGTCTTTTATTGGCCATTGTGCCTGAAAAAAAAATTGAAAATTTAATTATTTTAATTTATATAACGATTTAATACGTTTTAACCCATTTTTGGCTTGGATTCATATTTTTAATACGTAAAAATATTTGTTACAATTATTACTAGCTATTGCAAAAACGTGTATCTGGCAACTAAATATGTTCAAAAACGTGTATCTCAATGCTGAAATTGTTAACAAATTCTGAGCATTCAATCTATTAAAAATTACTTTCGAATGAATTCTACCTTAAAGAACAATTTTTTAAAAATAGCTTAACACTTACCCAACTAATTTCTAAGCTTTATTTTACAGTAAAAATCCGGACGAACAATCTGGTGCAACTAAATATAACCACACAATACCGATTCTGGCGCTTTAAACTTAGTTACACCTTTTTGCTTGCTGTGGAGAGATACACCGATTTGATGTTCGGAAATAACTTAAACACGAAATTTTCTACAGTTAAATGGTTTTGCACTAATAGAACTATTGCTATTTCTTACGAGATGGCGATAAAATGTCAATTTTGATATTTTTTGAGATACACCATTTTGCTCTTTCGCCGACGATATGCACATAAATTCGTTTTTTAAACTATGATTATAATTCATCGACCAATATTCTAATAAAAAGATGTTTTTACGTCGTCCGGAATATTATAAACTGGTTCTCTTTCACAAAGCATACGAAATATGGTTTACATTCTACATTTAGAAAAATCTTTTATAATGCAAGTCTTGTTCGTTTACCTAAACTTAATTAATACACAAAACAAATAATCTATTGTTTTTATAGAAATGCAGATTCCTGTCGGATTTGTATCAGTGGGGCATGAGTCACTGGTGTCTCGTATATCAGGACCTCTTATTGCATTACAAACATAGTTCTCAATTAGCAGTGTCGTACAAATTAAAGCCGTAATACTGTTCGTAGGACCATAAGACCGTATGTTATAAATAAATATATCCCTACAAGAATTATCTTGAAAAATGGGAAAAATACAATAAAAAAAAAACAATATCAAGTAGTATTTAAAAATGGCTATTCATGGGCGTACAGTTAAAAACAAAAGTTATCAGTGTTCTATTGCTTGATTATTATTATCTGGTTGGTATTTTTTAAAAATACTAGCTAAGTATTCTAAAAATGTTGACATTTTTTCCTGGTCTAATCTTCCTCAACTAACATCATCTTTCTTAATTGGTGTATTATTTCATATTCTTATATGTATATTATATATTTTATATATTTCACATTCTACGATGCATTCCACGTTTGACGCACTGTCTTATTTAATTTTCTGTTATTCTATTTGTTAAATCCTATCCCATTTACGTCACAGCGTCAAGGAGCAGTAAATGTGTGCAGTGAACGGAAGGCATATGTCTAACAGTGAATGTTGGAACTTTTTCGCGTTTATCATATGTACAGAAGTTGACTAAAAGTAGACGTATGCAAATCATATGCTATTCGCTAAATTCTGTCACGTAATATGCCATAGACCTCTGTGGGTTATTACATTTTATTGCTGCCAGTTTACCGTGTTATTACATGCCGCCATGTTTACTTTGTCTCCACCATCGTATTATCTCCAATAAATCCTATCATTTTATACTCCATATGCCATGATTAGACCTATAGGACAGGAGATACATAATTAAGGCTCTTTTGACATAGTATATATAGGAGCAAATATATATATACCTAAGGTCCTTTTGACGTGTTGCTGTATTTGATCTACGTCGTAGCATTCTATTGGTTAAATGATATCATTTGAGGTACTGTATGTCACGATTGGACTAATAGGATCGAAGATACATAACTAGGCCCTTTCACGATTGGACTAATAGGACTGCGGATACATAACTCAGGCCCTTTTGACAGGCTGATGTATGCTGTATTTTATTTTTCTGTCTCATAGTATTTGATTGGTTAAATCCTATCATTTGAGGTACTGTACGTCACGATTGTGCCACTACAAACGAAGATACGTAAATAGTGCCCTTTTGACGTGTTGCTGTATTTGATTTCTAAGTCATTGTATTCTATTAGTTAAGTGCTATCATTTAAGGTATCGTACGTGACGATTGGACTAATAGGACCGAAGATACATAACTAAGGCCCTTTTGACATGCTACTCTATTTAATTTTTATACCTTATTGTATTTTATTAGCTAAACCCTTTCATTTGAGGTGCTGCACGTCATGATTAGATTGATAGACCCGAAGATACACAACTAAGGCCCTTTTGGCATGTTGCTGTATCTGATTTTTCTATTTGATTGTTTTTGATTGGTTAAATCCTATCATTTAAGATACTGTACGTCACGATTGGACTTATAGAAACAAAGATATACAAGTAAGGCCTTTTTGACATGCTGCTGTATTTTATTTTTCTATCTTATTATATTTTATTGGTTTAATACTATCATTTGAGGTACTGTACGTCACGACTGGACCAATTGGAGCGAAGATACAATAGGTAGGTACAATATATCATAACCCGTTACTTTTAACAAAACATGATGCCAGAATGATTCATGGATGAAAAAAAATATATATTCTTAAATTTACTATTTCGTTGTGGGTAATATTATATTCAACAGCGATGCCAAATTTCTGATGCTAAAATGATTGATAATGAAAGTGGGATATACATTTTTATGTATATAATGACATCGAGTAAACGGTAAAACCCTGAACTAAATATATATAATATTTTCACCGTACCATCATTTTAGACTCAAATATTTTTTGGAATAAACTTATATAACTCAGTAAGGGATAAAAAGAGAAAGCCGATATTTTAAAATACCAACACGGTATCAAATCTCTAATCAGTGAGATGGTTAAAATTCTTGTAACAAGTACAGGAAAAAAGTTATTAAGGTGTTGTAAAGTAGCGTCGATATACAGATGCTACTTTGCAAGACGATGCTAAATTGATGGTAAAAGCATAATGTATCGATGCCAAAATGATAGTAGGATGTATATATAAATATATATATATATATATATATATATATATATATATATATATATATATATATATATATATATATATATATATATATATATATATATATATATATATATATATATGTATAGTTTCGGACCCGTTCACAAACATACGGGCATATCGAGCGATAAGAAGTATTCACTTCAATAATAAAAGATTGAAAGTTAATGGTTAAGTTAATGGAAAGTTAAGTTAAAAAACAAAAATTTCAAGCCATTCGCGTAAAAAGTAAAAAAAGTAAATAGACGTGAAGATAATCACGGTTTTAGTGACGTCAGTCAAAAAGAGTATATGTATAACTGTTTGTATGTTAAAATAAAATTGTTGTTTTCACCCTCACTTATTTTCCTCACAAGTTTATTATATTTTATAACCTTGTAAACCTTCCTTGGACTTCTAAAAATATTTTAAAATCAAAATCAGCCACATCGATCTAGTCCTTCTCGAGTTATTATAAAACGTTAAAAAAAACTTCAAATGACGTTTGTTAAAAGTCATTTATGTATGTATATATATATTATTTTGTCTACTATGAGTGATGTTTAATGTATTTTGTTTTCAGCAGACCGGACCTTCTCAACACAGGCAAACTAACTACACCACAACGTTCTCCACAAAACCAACCTCGCCCTGTAGACCCACACCTTACCTCTCACCATCCCCACCAACATTCAAAGGAAAAGCGGCATAGTTTTACTGGCCTCGTCACTACACACCACCCGAATCCTGTAACGCAAAATCAAAATCGACTTTCGGCTGAGATTGTACAAGGCAGCGATGGCCAAATGGCTACTTCAAACGACAGAAGGGGGCGTACCGGGCATCTTTCGGAAATGCAACTACCTGCTACGTATGTGGCTTTATATCCTTATAAACCGCAGAAAGCTGATGAATTGGAATTGAAAAAAGGTGGAATTTATATGGTGACTGAAATGTAAGCCTGAAATGAAAAAATTAGAAACCATATTTACTTCAGTAGTTCTTACTACATGATAAAGACTTGTCAGTTATTTATTATCGTTTAATCATATCAGTCGAAGACGAATAAGATATTTTGATTATAACACTTAAACTTCAAACAATGGTACATCATTTATATGAAAATATTTTTCTTGCTATTGCAAAACAGTCGACAAAAAAATTAAAATAATAATAATATTATATAATATTAAATAATAATAATAATAAAAAAGATAATCTAATGATGATTATCGGAAAAAAACAATAAAATCTAAGCGTACAGAAACATTTTAAGGGGGGTGTGCTTCCCTAAATCCCCCCAAACTTTTGAGTACGTTTAAATCAAATGAATAGTCTAACACATTATTTTTAAAAATTGTTTGCCTCTTATCACTTTTTTCAAAAAAAAAACAGTTTATATTGAGTTACGGCCTTTTTCACTAACCTTTAAAAAATTACGTGCAACTAAATAAATGGCTTAAATGAATTAACAAGTCCAAAAAATGCCTATATAAATATAAATATAAATGTTCAAAATGACCCCCATTTGCTTCAATACACATTCGGTATCGTTTTAATAAGGAAAACCGAAAGCGCTGAAAAATTATATTTTTCTGACGAAATTGATTTGCAGCTTCAATTATTCTAACCATCAATTGTTGTTTGTCCTCTATTGTTACAGAATACACTCTCTCTTTCATAAACCCCAAAAGCAAAAGTCGATGGGGTTAAGACCTGGACTGCTGGGTGGCCAAGAATTAGGTGCGTCACAACCACTTCCAATCCACCGGCCAGGATACTGCCTACAAAGGTATTCCCGGACTTCATTACTGTAATGCGGTGGAGCGCCATCTTGTAGAAACCACATATTTTGCCTTATTGCAATATTCACTTCTTCCAAATACTCTTGTAAATCGTCTGCCAAGAACTGCAAATAATTTTCACCATTTAAATTGTTGGGAAGAAATGCTGGGTCTATTAGATTTTTATCCACAATTCCTGTCCAAACATTAACTTTGAAAGTCCTTTGGTGATGAGTCGTTTTTTGGCGTGAGGATTTTCCTTGGTCCAAATGTGCTCGTTATAATCGTTTGTTATATCATTTCTACTGAAGATCGTCGGTAAACAAAATATTTCTAATAAAATTAACATTTCGAGTGTTTTTCATTAACAACCAATCGCAAAATCCAATTCTTTTAGGATAATCTTCAATCAATAACTCTTGAACCGTTATTAAGTGATAGGGTTTAAGCAGCTGATAATTCAAACGCATACAAACCCTTACGTGAGGAACATTTAGTTGAGCTATTACCCTTGTACTTGTTCCAGGGACTTCTTCAATGATTTCTAAAATGTCTTCATCAGTTGCATCCATTATTGGACGACTACTATTAGCAACTTGCGATTGGAATGTACCCGTTTCCCGTAAACGACCAACGATCAATGGTCAGAAATAATCGTCTATCGGCTGTATTTCGATTGGGGCATTTTACTGCATAACGCCTTGCGGCTGCTGCACTATTTCCTTGACATTCACCTACGATATTCCCGATAGATTGATATCATAATTTAATCTGATCCAACTTACAGAAAGTTAAATGCATATCTCCATTTCCTGAAATGTGTAGGCCATTGTAATATCAAAATTTTTAATATTAATCTTATTCACACAATAAATGATAGTTTCAAATTATTGACTATTATTGATGGAATTGTTTGTAATTATTGTATCCGTAGAAACTAATTGTAATTTTATGGACAACTAGGAAAAAACTAGTTTTTTGAAAAAGTGATGAGCCAAAAAATTTTAAAAATAATAATGTGTTAAGGTGGATTTTCACAGGTCCGATATCCGATGGTACGATGATACAATATAAATTTCAGCGAATTTCATTGGTTGAAAAATGACAGGTATAATTTTCGTACGAAATTAAAAGTCATCGGAAGAAGTTAAAAATATTTTAAATTTTGCACGAAAATCGGATGAATTTTGACATTGTTGACATTTCTAACTTGAACCTTAACCTTTTTTTTTGTGGAGTGTTTATGTTTACTATTTGAAATATATTTAAAATGGAACAAAGACCTAATTATTATATAAATGCAATGAATAAAGTGTTGCTTTTGGGTCTTCTACACTATGTGAGGCAAAAATTACAAGAACGTAGCTAAATATAATATATATTATATATCAAACAAAAACAGCTAACATTTATTGACAGTTCATTGAAATAAATATCAATCCATCCAATAATCTGACACAAAACACATATATGTCAAAAAATATTTCAGATACGACAATCAAATATATTCGTACAAAAAAATTTCGTATTTCGTGTCATCGGATATCGGATCTGTGAAAATCCAGCATTAAACTAATGATGCCCCAAAATTCATTTGATTTGAACGTACTCAAAAGTTTGGGCGGATTTAGGGCTGCACACACCCTTTAAAATTTTTCTGTGTGCTTAGATTTTGTTGTTTCTTTTTTATGAAAAATGCTTTCAGAACAAGAAAGTAACGTGTCCATTTTTATTACAAAATGTCAAGTAGTTTAGGAGATAATGTAAAAAAACAATTTTTATTTTTTAACTTCAAAGAGCTGTAACTTTTTTTTGTGTACACTTTTGTACTAAGTTAAGTTGGATTCAATCAATTTATTTTGGTCCCCCGAATGCGTGATTTAATTATTATTATTATTCCATAAGCGAGGGCAGAGGAACTAAGTCGCTATTATGCCCAAAAACAAAGAAATGTCATTAATCACCTACTAGTAAATAACAAAAATTACAAATAAAAAAAATAAAATTACAATTTTATGGTTTAAGAAAAAAAACAATATTTTAACTATAATATAAAACGGTCAAGTCTGTTTTTGAACGAGTTGGTAGAGGAAGCGGAGACAATGTATGACATGTATGTCATACCTTTTTGAAACACCCTGTATTTATTCCATTGACATGGCTATCAGTTCCAAGTTTGATGTTTTATCAGTAAGAAGCGAAAAAGTGGTATCTTTCCTTCTCAGGTTAGCTAAACATGGAGGAATTAAAAAAGCACACCATTTTTAAAAACATTCAATTCAATTTTTTTGAAAATTTTATACATTAATTATACTACAAGTGTACAATTTATTAAAAAATAATTCTCCCTTTCTAGTGAATGTCATTTATTTATTTAGCGTATGGCTACATCACAGGTTCATATATATACATATAATATAAATTATATAAATGACAAACAACAGTAAATATAAAAATATTGAATGAAATGAAATGAAAATATTGAATGTGAATAGTGAATGTCAGAAAACAACCAATAAACGGCAAAAAAGATTCGTTGAAGCACGTGTCATAAGTTAATAAAAATATTGTTTAAAAATAATATTGTTGATAAAACATTTAATAATCGCAGTTTAATGATATAATAAATAAGTTAACTACTTGCTTTTACTGTAAATATGAAATTTTATTAATATTGATAGTATTTTATGTCTCATTTATATATTTTGATTGTTTTTTTAGCTGTCACGACGGTTGGTATAAAGGAACATCCAACCGTACCCAGAAATGTGGCGTCTTCCCAGGCAACTACGTAACCCCAGCAAGAGGAGTACCCAACACTCAAAGTGCCAAGGATTCAGCCGAATCTAAGTTGCCCGTAAGTTTTACTCGGAGCGGAAAAGCCTATTCCGCTTCAGCACAGCATGCCGCTTCCACTAATCCACCCGAATTACCGGCAAGGGCAACAAGCCCCTCGTCGAATGCTTTTTCCAGTAGTTGGCACGGGGGGCAACAGGACGCGCAAGCCGTGCCTTTAGGCAGAAGCAGCAGTGCCATTATGACAGGAGGAAATAACGCTGTCAATAAAACTGATAAGGTGGGTTAGTTTTTGATTGTTGTCGGGGGTGTTGGTATATACAGTGTGTCCGAAAAGTATGGAATAAATTCGATATTTCCTAAATGAACAGCCTATTTAAAAAAATCTAAAATGTTCTACATTTTACAATAAAATTTCATTATACAAGGTGATACACATTAAGGTGATGACGTCTTTGGTTCTTTTTTTTTTTTAATGTAACACCCTGTATTTTAGGACATTTTTAGATCGATAAAAATGAGCTCATTCAAAAAAGTATAATAACTTGAAAATAATCTAATAATTAATACATGACTTTATCGTAAATGTACTAATTGTAGCCCTTGTTGCATTTGATAGTAACCCAATCGTTGTACAAAGTCTTGTAGAACCTTGTGTACGGTTTCTTGAGAAATATTGTTTATTTTTTTATAAATTCTTGTTTTAAGTCTTCAATATTTGCTAGTTTCGTTTTACAAACAACATTCTTCAAATGACCCCATATAAAATAAACCAAATGATTGAGGTCTGGCGACTTCACTGGCCATTCAATATATCCACGTCTTTCAATCAACCTGTTCGGAAAAATTTCTTTTAGGTACCTTCGAACATCTACAGCATAATGCGGAGGCGCACCATCCTGTTGAAACCATAAACTTTCATCAAAACCTCCAGGATTAATTCTACTGGGGAATAAATTAACTGAAGTAGGTGTGAGATACCCCCTTAAAAACTGAAGGTATGCTAACCCGTTTAAATTGTCTTCGAAAAAGTAGTGTCCGATGATTATATTTCTTATAATGCCAGCCCATAAGTTTACCTATTGCGGGTATTGTGTATGATGCTCTTTATTTTGCCCAGTATTTAGAATTCAGACGGTTGACCTCGCCATTTAATGTGAATGTAGCCTCATCAGAAAAAATAATATTTTGAACCAAGAGAGGGTTTTGGTGACAGTTATCCATCATTGTCTCGCAAAATTACCTGGATCATTCTCGTTTAATTCCTGTACAAGTGTGCATCTAAAGGGGTGCCATTTTTCAAGTTTTATTACTTTGTGTATAGTTGTTTTGCAAACATAGAGATCACGACTAACTTTACGAACAGAAATATGCGCATCTTCATCAAAAACAAGTAGAACATCTAATGTTGTATGACCTAATTTGCATACATTTTCAACTGTACCAGTTTCTCGAAATTTCTTTTCAATCTTACTTACTGTTGACTGCGTTATGGGCCTTCCTGAATATTTATCATTAAATAAATTACACACTTCCATCTGAGTTCACGTCTCCATTCCCAATCATCATAAGTATTTCAATTCTTTGCTTTACACTTAAATTAATTTCTACTTCAAATTAATTCTAAGTAATAATACAGAACATTCACGAATTAATACAATTATTGTACTATTTAATTGTTATTGAACGTTACTAAAAATAATTACATTTCACTATAAACTAGTAGTAGGCTACTTTTTTGCAATTGTTAATAAATAATTAATTGTAACAATAAAACACTGAAAACTTTGTTTCCAAACTTCCACAAAATTTATTTTAACTTCTTATCACTACAGCTGTTTCGGCTGATTGCCTTTCTCAAGTGATCTATTTTTGGCATGCGTTTACACTTTATAGTCTTTAATGAAAAAGGTTGAGGAGGAGAGAACTGTTTGTCTCAAGTTGGTCATTCAGATATATCTGTGTTTTTTAATTTTTTGATTTCCATAGATTCTAACAAGGATAGCTAAGGCCTTTATTTTGAATGTGAAGAATTTTAAATTCGTCGGTCAGATAGCTCAGCGGGCTGTGCGGCTGCCTCTCATTCGCTTCACTGTCGAATGGTTTAGTGGATGTGGGATCGAGCCCATGCTCGGTGTACAGAAAACAAAAAGTCTAACGCAGCAGTTTAAAATTCTAGATTAATCTGCGGCTTAGACTAGGATATGCTGGGATCTGATCGGCCTATGGTGGAGCAGTACGGCAAGAGATAAGGGCTTGCGGCTTGGTGATACTCCTCCATAGATCCCTACCGGACAGGCGTAACGCCTAAAAAACCGGATATATATATATATATATATATATATATATATATATATATATATATATATATATATATATATATATATATATATATATATATATACATTAAAAGAATGATTGTGATCTAGAAGGTGAAGTGCGTATGTAGAATATGTTTTTCTATTATTGAAAGCCCTTTTATGTTCTGCTATTCGTTTATTAAAGTTTCTACCAGTTTGACCGATGTAAGTTTTTGGGCAGTCGCCACATTAAAGTTTGTACACACCCCTGTATAAGTGTTTTTTATATTGGCTCTTGTTGTTTTTGATATATTTCTCTAGGTTGTTATTTGTTCGGAAAGCTGGTGTTATTCCTTTCTTTTTTATGTGTTTGGCTGTTTTTGTTGATATTTTGCCTGTATATGTAATCGAGCAGAACTTACTGGGTTTTTTTCTCTGGTCGTGGAAATACTAATTTTATGGCTTTCTTGTGTAGTTTTTGATTTAACATTTTATTAATTGTTTGTTCGTTGTATCCGTTGTTTACTGTTATTTGCTTGATGATATTTAATTCTGTCTCAAAGTTGTATTTTGACATCGGAATTTCTGTTAATCTATGTAACATACTATGATAGGCTGCCAGTTTATGTTGTGTTGGATGGGATGATAAATTGTGTATAGTCGTGTCAGTATGGGTAAGTTTATGAAATATGGAGGAGTCATATTTGTTTTTAAGTCTGATAATATTTAAATCTAAAAATTTTATGAATTGATTTTGTTCTGTTTCTATTGTAAATTCTATATGACTATGAAGTGAATTAATATACGATAAAAATTGATCTAGTTGCCTGTTAGTTCCTGTAAAACATACCAGTACGTCGTCTACGTATCTCCACCAATAGAAAAACTGTTTAAATACGGGATGTTTTGAAATCTTTGTCTCTAGATGATCCATAAAAATATCTGATAGCAATGGGCTTAGAGGATTGACCGTTATAAGTCCTGCACTGTTATTTGTATATATTTGATTATTAAATTCAAAGTAGTCTTGGTTTATGCAAACTTCAAGAAGATGTAAAATTTCAGATGTAATTATTGGATTTGTACTATTTTGGTCTAAAAGGTTTGTTACGCCCATTGCTATCAGATATTTTTATGGATCATCTAGAGACAAAGATTTTAAAACGTCCCGTATTTAAATAGTTTTTATATTGGTGGAGATACGTAGACGACGTACTGTTATGTTTCACAGGAACTAACAGGCAACTAGATAAATTTTTATCGTATAATAATTCACTTCATAGTAATATTGAATTTACAATAAAAACAGAACAAAATCAATCCATAAATTTTGTAGATTTAAATATTATCAGACTTAAAAACAAACATGACTTCTCCATATTTCATAAACCTACCCATACTGACACGACTATACACAATTCATCATTATATCCAACACAACATAAACTGGCAGCCTATCATAGTATGTTACATAGATTAACAGAAAGTCCTATGTCAAAATACAACTTTGAGACAGAATTAAATATCACCAAGCAAATAGCAGTAAACAGCGGATACAACGAACAAACAATTAATAAAATGTTACATCAAAAACTACACAAGAAAGCTCTGAAATTAGTATTTTCACCACCCTAGAAAAAACCCAGTACTTTCTGCTCGATTACATATACAGGCAAAATATCAACAAAAATAGCCAAACACATAAAAAAGAAAGGAATAACACCATCTTTCCGAACAAATAACAACCTAAGCAAATATATCAGAAACAACAAAAGCCAAAATAAAAAACACTTACAAAGTGGTGGTTACATACTTAAATGTGGCGACTGCCCAAAAACTTACATCGGTCAAACTGGTAGAAACTTTATAAAACGAATAGCAGAACATAAAAGAGCTTTCAATAATAGAAAAACAGATTCTACATACGCACTTCACCTTCTAGATAGATCACAATCATTCTTTTAATGACGAATTTAAAATTCTTCACATTCAAAATAAAGGCCTTAAGCTATCCTTGTTAGAATCTATGGAAATCAACAAATTAAAAAACACAAATATAATTCTGAATGACCAACTCTTGAGACAAACAGTTCTCCCCTCCTTAATATATTTCATTAGAGACTGTAAAGTGTAAACGCATGCCAAAAATAGATCACTTGAGAAAGGCAATCAGCCGAAACAGCTGTAGTGATAAGAAGTTTAAATAAATTTTGTGGAATTTTGAAAACAAAGTTTTATTGTTACATAAAATGAATTTCCATCAAGGTACGGTCGAATCCATCAAATAATTTATTTTCTTAGCGCATATATTTCAAATTATAGCCATTAAACCCCGAGTATTATACTTTTTTGGAATCAGCTCATTTTTATCAATCTAAAAATATCATAAAATAGAGAGTGTTATATTAAAAAAAAAGAGCCGATGACGTCATCACCTTAATGTGTATCACCTTTTATAATGAAATTTTGTTGTAGAATGTAGAAGATTAAAATTAAAAATCGACGTGTTTTAGATTTTTTAAAAAGGCTTTTCATTTAGGAAATATAGAATATATTTCATACTTTACGGACACACTGTATATTTTTTATAAGGGAAATAAAATATCGGGACAACATAATCAGGAATGAAATTGAACGTTTGCGAAACCAAAATCAGATTTAATAAATCGTTTTTCAGATTCGGGACATGTCATTTTTGAGTTAGATACTCAAAAGTATCACCCAATGTTTTCTTATGGTAAAGGAAAAACTACTGATCAAATAACTTACGTATTTAAGTAGTCAACATACCATTGTTTGGAAATTGTTTATTTGTAAGACTCTATTTTATCAATACTTTGAATGATCCATAAGTTATCCATTCTTTAAAAAAAAAATTGAGCATCCAATATATGGAAGTTTACAATAGAAAACAGAAGGAGTGCAAAGGCTGCAATCACGGGACATAATAATTGGATTCAGGATAATATTGTATTGGCGG